ATCAAAACGTCCAGCTAGTGTAGCGTATCATTAGACGATAGATAATCGCCAAGTACCGGTTTATTTTCTCATAAGTGTTACCATGAATTACAGTGAACTAAACGATATTTTTGATGGTCGCACAGATTGCAGCTATTTTTACAGCAATCGGGTGATATTTTTGAAACGGGATTTCTTCCTGTAAGTCAATCCAATCTGTGCTGAAAAGCCGAGTAGCACTGTACAACTATTCTTACGAAACCCCAGGAAGTTTTGAACCCTCTATCTTCCGGTAGGCGTTCAGCCAAGAGCAGCCAAGTGATATATATATATATATATCCTCTTCAAATGCGAATTATTTACAACGCGCCTCTGATGATTCTCAATAAGGATGAAAAAGCCGTACAGTGCTTCTCAGTATGAAGTGGCCACTCAAACCGAAACTTACCAAGTCTCCTTGCACTATCGTCTCTCAGGTGGTATCCTTATCATTCATTCATTCCATTTGTGCCTAGACTTGAACACTGAATCAGCTCACGCCATTTTGTCAGATTTGGGTTTCTTTTGATAATTCCGCATCGAGACAATATTGACCTATTTCCGGACAAGTTTAGGGTTGCCGCCAGCCAATTAATTCTTCTTCTAGTTGAGGAGAATATCATTGTAGTGTCGGGAAAACGGAAGCCTGACGACAGCTAACGATTACTCCTGGACTGAACAACTTATCCCTGTATCCCTTGGACAGGTCAGCTTCCTTAAATTGTGCACTCAGTACCCTGCATCTTACTTTCGTCTGTTTTAAAAGATTACCGATGTCACTTACTTCAGGTTTGCAACACAAACTGACTGTATTCGCGTCTAATTTCGCTCAAGTATTGAGAAACTACGCTGTCGCAGGAGGTTACACAGCCGACCGATTACAAATTCGGTGGTGTAGCAAAAGAGGGAAAGAGTGAATTACTGAAGTCCTGGAAGTGGCGTGAAATACAATAAGCATTCGATAGAAAGTTGGCTGTAAAAGAATGTGGCGAGCGACAGGCCACACAAGGAGCCCTGCATCTTTCGGAGTGAGGACAGCTTCCTGGTCGGACTTCTTGGCTTTCTACTCTCCATTGCATGACCAACAAACGTACTTATCACATTCGTCGTGAACCAGAACGACGAGACAGACCTAACACGAGTACGACACGAGTTCCAGTTCTGGAATTATAACCAGAGATTATGTGAATGTCCCACAGTGATAAAAGGACATTGGCAGAATTTTCACAAGAACGTAACGCAGTTTAAGAACTAGATCACTGATGCATGGGTATTCAAACAATGTCCAGTATATTGAACTGTGGCACTCAAGTTATCAATAGATGACATCCCGGTGATGTTTTCGCTACTTCATGTGGTTTACTGCAGCCGTTTAATTGGTACTTGAAACAGACAAATGAGATGGTCCCACGTGAAAATACAGGCGACCTTTGCATACAGCAAAACTCGAAAAGGCATCCAGTTCGAGAGCTTTCTTCTATTAAACCGAAAAAAGAATACTACAAGTCTGCTTGGTGGATTAACCAGAAATAGCTTGGATGACACGCTGAAAGCCGAATTAAAAAGACCAGAGGACGTGCTCATCCAGAACCGATGATGAATCCGCTTCATGTAAAAAAACTATGCAGTCAGTAACACCCAGATCGAGGTTATTATCTACTAAGAAGAAGCTGGTCTGCATGTGTTTGCAATTCTAAGGTGGCCCCGTACCCGAAATCACATCACCAAAAGGACCGCCTTCCGACCAAAACCCACGCCAGACATGCCACTCTAGAATCAGGTTTCTGTGAACTTGGTTGCTCACTACTGTCAAGGGGACATCGGTATGGCTGAGCAAGCCTGTTTTGCGTGCACAGAAACACTTCGTACAAACAGGGAAGCTAAATCAGCCGGCAACAGTCACAAACCAGAATAGCAACCTCCGAGTATGTAACAGTTGGCAGTGTCCTCTGTTCCTTTGCGTCGCCATGTGTTGCACCCTCCTAGTGCCTCCTCCAGTGTGCGAAATGGCAAGACAAACGCAGTGAGACTGTCAAGCTGCCTGTTATTCTGACATCTTACAAGGGGCATAAATACCAAACACGATAGCCAATCGGAGAACAAGATACGCAACAGATCAATAGCACGCGAGTTAGTCATGATGGCCGAGACGATAGGCCAATGGAGTCAGCTGTCTAAGTGTTAACAGACTGTTAGGCAACTTACTGTCAGACTTCAATTTCATGTAGTTTTAAATGGACTATCTTAGTTAATGCGTTCATGTGATATTTTGTTAATTGCCTAAAATCCACAACATTATCTGCTTACTATTCCATTATTCTGGTAACTTCTCCCAGTCTAGTCAAGCGTTTGAGACAGTCCAAAGCCCTGTTTGACGCACTAGCGCACACAACAGACGAATCTGGGGAAAATCACACGAATAAATTATTCTGGAATCCAAAAAGCGAAGAGTGTGAAACTGTAATTATGATATGGAAAAATTATACATTACAATAGCTTACTCCGATCAGTCTCACTTGATCGGAAGGTCGTTCTACCGCTTAAACGAACAAATTGTTCGGGGATCCCAGTTCATCTGCTATCACCCTGTCTTATTTGATCCGATCAACTACAGTCGCCAATCACCTTTAGCTAACTCGCCAAACATGCATTTACATGCACACGTCCTAAAAATCCGCCGTTAGCATGAATAAATCCATTCTCCGCGATTGCACTCATTTTGATGGTCTACAGGCGACCCGAAGGCACTTGCTTCATGAAGGTTAGCGAACAGGACCGTAGCGTGGCAAGTAACCTGCCATCTTGAGTGACATTACCGCTGGTAAATACCCTAAATCCAGTCATCACAACTCTCCACATTTCCACACTTTCGGTCCACGTGCGAACCGGATGTCCTATTAAAAGTGAATGGTGCGCAAAAGCTTGTGCACATGCATGAGGTTTTGAGCCTAACTTGTGCACCAAAGGAACTGAGTGGAATACGGACAAAATTAGTGAGAGTCGTAATGACAATTGGTCAACCTTTGGTCATCGTTGAGGAGCCAATTAAAAACTCAAAAATTTAGCTATTTGGTAATTTGTTGAAATATTGGTAGCTCGGGTGAGTTTATTGGTTGTTGATCTGTTCGCCGAGCTTGGTAATTGGCTTGCAAACGTTTCGTCACCATACGAGGAGACATCATCAACTGCGCACTGATGATGTCCCCTCGTATGGTGACGAAACGTTTGCAAGCCAACTGCCAAGCTCGGCGAACAGATCAACCAACCACCTGTCAACAACCAATTTAGCTATTTGTCGGCTATCTGACCGGTATCCAGTGCCAATTTATTCCAAATCCACTAAGGCCTCCGAAGCACATGGATCTGCGCTATTCACATTTCTTTACCGAATTGTCAGTCTAAATCTGACGATTCGGGAGTGATGACTTGAAACAAAATATTAATCCCCTGCAAACCCCTATAAAATTCCACAATAAAAACTCCGAGTAGATGGGTAAGGATGTCTTAACTTAGCGTTCAAGAGGTTTTGCATTTCAGAAAATGATTGGAATTCACATTCTCTTGTAGCCACGCAGACGAGATTTTGTGGTCGCGCAAGAAAATATTACTTCACTCTTGGTTTTGAATTCCCTCAGTTCAGTTCATTCCAATACCCAGTCTACTCTACAACCTGAACACAATAGACAGTTGCACATCCTCGGCGTCCACATATTTAGATAGTTAGGCCTAAAAAACAGAGCTGAAAGCTGATAAGACATCTAAATGGGAGGGCTAGAAGAATTTATTCTCACGAATGTCTTCAATCAGAACCAACATTCCTGGATTAGGTATTTCTATGGATGAATATTCACGACTCAACGAACAATCGACACAATCTGTGAAATCAAGCCAAAATGAGTCCTGTGGACAGTGGAGAGGCACACTGCTACTTTGCCCATCAGAAAGCCTGGATAGGTTATTGGTCTCACCAACCCGTGCTCGGTTTCAGTTCCACGTTTACCATCAAGTTCCAAGTGAACGACAAGCTTCCATTCTACCAGCACCTTCTGAGTATACTCATTCGCAAGCTCGTGTCAGGTACCGTATGTTGGTCGTACGATGAGGCTTATGCCAGCCTGAGTGCGCGGGAACACAGATCCATTTCACTGGGACCTTGGGTGCATATCCCACTATCCCAGTTTCCGGTGATCGAAAATGAATATGTTTGTAACAGAAGACTCAACTGAATCCAGCTGAATCTCTTGTTTATGATGGTCCATTTCAAATGAATGAAAAAAAAACAATTCGATTGTGAGGAGAATCCAACGTCTAATGGATTTGTTGATCAAGGGAAGTAAATAAACTTTTGAGACACCGAGTTTACGAATATTTCTGATAACCCGTGCATCACCACCAACTCCCATTTCTTTAAAGCAGTAGCCTGGCTATGAGCAGCCAGGCAGTGACATCACGACAGTTAAACAAGTGTTATTTTATTCTCCTTTTCGGATTGTGGGATTCTATTCCCTGTTTTCGCTAGACAACTGAGAAATGATAGACCAAGACGTTTAAAAAACAGTTGCCATTTCTCTAGATGGACCTAAGTGTTAGCTTGGCACACACAGGGCTGCTTCATCGGCAAGGTGCCATACCCTAAAAATTTGCCAGAGGAGAAAAAGGATTGCTTAAACAGTGGAAAGTTTGTGGTTGAGTTGTTCATTTGGTTAGCTTTCCTAAACTTGCTTCAGTAGCGACGGCAGTTGCCTGACAAAACTGAGCGGAAAACTACTGGTACTACCGTACGCTTAGCTGAGGCCACCCAAAATAAGGATTTTGGATATGACACTCTTCAAAAACTGTGGTCAACAAGGATCACGACTGGATCTCACGTACAATGAAGGCGTCCACTATAGCGATATCGACTCGATATCGTCTCGAATAGTTTAACCGATTAGCTGCGACAGTATACTTCCACCCATCGAGAAGTCAAATGAAAGAACAGTTATGAAACGTGATTTTTCTTTCTCGTATACTAGGTTTTCCACAAAAAGGAAGTCAAAACAAAAAATTCCGACCGGAACACATCACGGACTGCCACTGCAAACGAGAAGGGAAGCGTAGATGCTAGAGAAGAAAATGCACGATTCACTGTCCTACCCAGTAAGAAAATTGAAAAAAAAACAGTGACCAGGATGTTCTAAGAAATGAGCGAAAACGAAATTAACCGAAGGGATTGTGGAGTTCCCAAGCTGTACAGGCGTAGACACAACAGTGGAGATGATGAAGATACATGGATTATTGAAAACACTACTCCCAAAATCCCCTCTCCCCAAATCGCACTGTCACACTGACCAGCGTTCAACGTACATTCAGACACATCAGCTGGTTCACAGGAAAGCAGGGACAAAGTGAGAAAGACGTTAGTAGGTCGCAGTTTCACACCAAGACACGTAATGAAGAGTCCTTCAGATCTGCGGACAGAAACGCTGAGGAAATATTTAGGACAAATGGGAGTGTATGTGTTCAAGAAGTGCGATGAGATTTGGGGTGCGGAGATGAATAAGACGGATTAATAGATGCGTTATTAATCTCCTCTAAAAGTAGGTACGCGTAAGTATTGCTATAAACTCGGGAGAGCGAGAAAAAAAGAAACGAATCCAGAAACACAAACTATACGATTGAAAATATAGTTGGAAAAGGCGCAATCAAGTAGGGCTGATTGATTGGCTGACCGACTGGTAGTTGGGACAAATAGAACTGGCGAGCTAAAACGGTAGTATCACACGTGACCATAGGCAACAGAATTTGAAACTAGACAGGCACCAGAGCGTGAATATGAAGTTGTACTAGTGGTGGTGGGTTTTGGGTGGAATTCCCGCGTGTCGACCACGGTGGACTCATTAAAAAGGACAAGCTGCTTCAGGAGTGCTTCTAAAGCTGGATGGACGGATGATGCGAGAGTTTCAACTACTGGAGGTATGTCGTCTGTCATCGGCTTTTCAAGGTCCGCTCTGTCAAACTCAAGTGATAATTTGTTTGTCTGTGATTCAAGCAAATTGCATGCAGTGAAAACACGCTCCGGGGACGTCTTCCAGCAATCTTCTTTAGAACGCAAAAACACCTCTAGATCCGTACGATAGGCATTAAGAGAGGTAAAATACTCGAAAAGTTCAGTAGAAGACGGATGGAGTGCAGATCGATGTCGTCCGCAATCCATTGAAGCGAACGGTGCAGACCAAGCGATCAATTTCTCCAGTCGCTCGATCAACGTGCCCAGACATGCGTCATATGAAGGTTTTGACAGTAGCGGAGACAGCGGATTGTCAGTAAGCAGAGAGTAACAGGCATCCGGTGCCTGGTAAACATCATCACCTTCGACGCTTGAGTCGTTTTCATCTACGTTAGGAGTGGGCGATCGCTTACGGTGATTTCCCATGGGTGAATCTGACACAACCGAGAGTGTTTCGTCATCCGGAGAGCGCTGCACTTCCTCGGTGTTTGAATCCTCTCCGGAGCAGTCGGCTGAATCAGTTCGTGCATGCAGTACATCTTGTCCGCGTCCCATAGCATTCCAGTCCGGCTTGGCTCCACGACGCCGAGATCTTGGGATTCTGCAGGCCGACACATTGGCCAGGGGGGTGCGCGTCTTTTTGTCCGATTCGACGACTGTGTGTACAGAATCTACGACTGGTGACTCTTTCGGATTGTTCGGTTGTGGATTCAATAAATGTTCTGTTCCACAATGGTCGTTGGCGGAACGTTCTTCCGCGATTCGGCCGACAAAATGTGAATGTGTATTAGTTGAATCGGTGCAGTCTGGTTGGTTGGACAGAGAGAGGCTATAAGAGTGACAGGAAAAAGGAACGACAAATGAACAGGACAAACGGGTTGATGTTAGCGCAAAAGAAAATCGACGTGGAACAGAATCCTGCCACGACTGGATAACAACGATAAGGCAGAAAAGCATCACCATAAAATGGGAGATAACACTTAAGGTAATCATTACGTCGTGATAGAAAAAAACTGCTTGCCGCTCGCCCACCTAAGGCTGTGTACAAATGACGAATGCATTTGATGTGTTGGATACTGGAGCCGTAAGCAGTGACAGGCATCTGTTGGGGACAGTTTCCTGTCTTTCGATTGTTTCGCTAGCGTCGGCAGCAACATTCTTGTTCAAAAGGCATGAGATCAGCGGAATATCACCCTGAGTGGTTTTGTTCAGTAATATAAATACCGCGAAAGCTGAAGTTTCAGAAAGAGGACACTCATTTGATAACAAATCCTCCAGGTAGCTACGCATGAAAACGCAAACGTGTTGTCAACTAACTTACTGTAAGAATGGTCGCCCGCCTGTTGAAGAGAACTGTGAGGGTGGTGAGGATGACGGGTCTGGTTGGGGAGGAGGTGGTGGTGGATAGTTTAAGAACACTAGAGACTCATTGGCAGTTGGGTTGGTGTTAGCATCGACCATGACTTGAGCACGTGTAGTGCCGAGTGAGTTATCACGATGCATCTCATTCAGACTTTCAAGATAACGACCGATGCGGTCTTGTGGAGGCAATGTGGCAAACTGCTCCATTGCTTCCGGACTCAAACGCAGCAACGGTTGTGAAGAGGCAGTTGTCATATGGAGCAGCTGTGGCATATCGCGTCTCAGGTCCGCATCACTGGACAAGGCAGTGTTTGAGTCACATTTCCGATTTGCTGGAGTACGGTGAGTTGCGGGAAGATCGAATGCAGCAGGTTTGGGTTTGGTGTCCGAACGATACTGTAGAAAAAAAGTTGAAATAGAACAAACTACCGTCATCAGTCGGTTTACTCCAAAGTCTGGGCGTCGTGAATAAAGGGCACTGGTCACCCTTTAGCCAATTACCCTGTTCACTAGTATTGATAGTTGATTTGTTAAATAAACTTAGAACGTCCTTTCTAGACTCGGCTGACAACGTACCGGGCCTGTGTGTGTGTGTAAAGTCTAGGTATGGCACAACAGGTTGATTAGACAGCATACTCACGATTTCGTTCGCTCAAGTAAAGTGGTAACCATATCAGTTACCACCTCACGGGCAAAGGATGAAAAATATACATATCTCTGAAGATTCAGAGGCAAACCATTCAAGAAATGCCCCATCGAAATGGGCATGCACGTAGTTTTTCGAGCGAGATCTAAAACGGGCAAGCCTCAAATAACGGAATAAAACAGACCACTTTATTCAAGTCTACTATGTCAATGGAAGTATGATTGAACAATCTATGTTAACAGAAGCAAAAACTAAAGATATTTGGCACTTGCAGGTAAGACAACCCTGCCCTTATTGTGACATGAAGCTATTTCATGCTTCCTCAGCAGTCGCACAGAAGGCGATGAAAAAAACATGAATGTAATTTTATTTCTGTGCTTTTTTATTCGTTCGCACATTGCAGCTGTTCACAGTGAACAGCTTGAACAGATTGACGTCACTGTGCAAAAGTGCTGCCCTTGTACCATTCAAATTGATTAGGGGGACAAGACGTTCCAAGAACCAGTGCATCAAATCGTGAATTTGTGTAGGCTTGGGAACTAGGGACACGAACAATGAGGATTTTTTGAGCTAATAATAAAACCTGTTGCACAGTAAACCCCTGGAAGGGCTATCACAGAAAAAGACTTTGTGACGATGCGCTTGATATATCAGCTTGTCGCTAATGGAGAACTGTCTGCACTAGAAGAGATAAGCTTTAATAATTATTGTATTAATCATATGGAAGTTCGTAAACACTGACCGTTCTTAAGAGAGAACTACTAAAAAACTTGGTGGTACCTCAACCCTCCTGCTGCCTTCAGGTGACGTGGCAGCTAGGCACCGCGATGTTGTTACAGTTGAAGTTTTTTTTTACGATACAGGTTACTACGTGATATTTTAAAGGTTGATTAACTTTACTACATATTGAAACTGTTGACCGGCTATTCTGTCGAGCAGGATAAGTCGACAGTACATCACTCTCACGCTAATCACGTAACTGCACCACCCTATCCACGCAGTGATTTCATCAGTTACAATACGCAGTTGCCAAGATAAGTGAAATGACGAACAAACTCAAGTTCTCAATTTTGAAGTTTTATAGAAGCGAAAATCCGTGGGAAATCCGTTCTCGAAATTCGCGCCACGTCTCTGTTCATACACAAGCTGTTTGGGGTGTCGTTCGACCGATCACCCGAAAAAATAGTGTCTCACATCAAGGAGTGGTAGTGACGGCTCTTAGATTCACTGGCTTCTCAGTGCACGCTCAAGAACACCACAAACGGAGCTCCCACGGTCACGTACACTCGTGTTTGCATCCAGTTCCGGTCACTGTACTCCGTAGATGCTGTCTATAATGAACTGCATAGTAGGTTCTGACAAGTTTTCTTAACTTGTGGCTCACAAAGATTTCTCCACTGAACACAGTACACCGGTGATGGGCATGAGACCACTCAAATAGATCAAACCTTGAAGGAAAATTTCCACCATTATTCCGATTCCCAAACTGAAGGGCCAGGAGACCATGTTTGCCATACCTCTATCCACCAACCGATCCGGCAGGAGACTCAGTAAATTTTGAATAAGCATTCTTCATCACACCTCAGTGAGCTACTGAGGTACGGCCGCACCACGTTAAGTTCAGCCTCTTCGCGATGGATACGCGCCAGATACCTGAACGAGAAAGCAGCAAATTGTGTTTACCCTTCCTCCACACGCTTCGTTATCCGGTGAAACCTATGGAATCGACCGGAAATTCCTATCTCCTCTCTCAGGTACTATGACTTGGAGATCACCGCGTAAGAAGTGATCACTTGCGGTGAGCCAAAGCACCGACCAGGTATGGCAGTCCTGAAGATTGTATCGGTTTTGGAAATTGGATGACGACTGACTGAAAATGAGAGCAATCCACTCGGAATCCCAGCCATACGCATACTGCACGCCTCCACTGGGATGGGGTGCGTCTAGGCGAATTACATGGAGATTGTGCCACTACCGAGTTCACGAAGGAAAGGAGGGTTCCTAAGGCCCATCCAACAGAAGCGACTTTGCTCCTGTGTAATAAACCTTTTCAAGGTGATGTGCTGGAGTTCATTTTGAGTATGTATAACTTCTTGTCTATGAAAAAATTCACTGGAAAGTTGTCGAGGAACAACTAGCCATGCTAACTTCACCAAAACAGAAAAAGGCTATGAAACTGACTGTTTTTGGAAATATCGATAAAACCGAAGCTAAGTTTTTAAACTGCGTGAGGAACATAAGACAAATATAAACTTTCCTCTACCTCGTCGCTCACCTTGTGCCCCTACGTTTTTACTACACTTGAGTCTTATAAAGTCGTCTTGTTTCCAGTTGCTCCCTCAACAGAAGAGTCTGCGATGATGAGGATCCAATGGGCAATTGAGGACAGAACACATCCGTGTGGTTCATGACGTATCCTATTCGAATCCGGAATATCGAAATACTCATCTGAAGAGGAACATTTCCCAATGGAAATTCTAGTGTTCCGCTTACATCATGTGACATCTCCTGGCGGTGCTGAATACACCAACTCACCCGAGACGGTCATCTTATGGAATATGATCCGATACAAGGAAGCCCATTGATGTAAGAGTGGGTATCACGTTTGACATAAATTTGCTGCGGTATCTTACAGGATTGTGACTGCCATGCGCCACACTAGACAGAGTCACAAACCATTTCTGTTGGCTTGTCTCATGGAGCTTCTGACAGGTTCTGGATATGGTTCGCTGTTAGGAAAACTGTTGAGACAAACGCAGCTTAAAAACGGTGTGTGTGGAGGGGGATCATAATACCCAAATAAGAGGACGGTAGGCAACAGTAGAACGACCCGATTCAAACTATGTGGTGCAAGAGCATAGAGAGGGAAGTTCACCGATGGACAAACTGTTTCTGATAAGTTGGGAGAAGGTGGAATGAGACGAATAGTAAACAGATAAAGGTTATCAGAACAAAAGACCGCAGAATAAGGTCTTACCCCTAGAATAAAATGCAAAAGAAGGTAGTGGATACTCGAAACACCAGGAAGGAATCACAAACGTCCTAGTAAACCGAGCCGACCAAGCCCCTCAGCCCACTGCGGACCATAGACAGGAACTTGTGCGCTTTTCCTACGGGTGGCGTTGAAAACGGATGGTACGTATCCCAATGCCTTCATTTTAATAGTCGTAGTGTAGCCGTGATAAAAGCGGCCTTAGGAGGACAAGAGAAGTTGATCCTGACACCCCCGAGAACCATCCTATATATTCATTACTTGAACATGCAGTGACCGGCTTCCGATATGGATCGACAATGATCTCGTTTAAAAACATGGCGATCCTCACAACAGGCCTAACGCAGAAGAGCGAATTAGGGGTCTTAGAAAGTCGATGTCTGCTCAGTGTTTGTGAGATGGATCGCACACTACACGCTTCACCCGGCTGCTAGGCGTCATTCAAGACCAAAGGGAACTGTCAACGAGAGGCTTTGTTGATGCCGAAAACCCAAAGCTTCCGGAAAGCTCCTCAATAGAATAACCTACAATGCAGTAAAAATAGAGATAGAGTAATGGAAACCGGAAACCATAGCCATAGTGTTCACGAAAAGGCAGAGATTTCAAAAGGTCACGCTCAAACTTAAGCACCTCGGGTACCTCGAGCTGACAGGAAACAATGCAGCTCGGACGGATGCCTACAGCTACTGTTGTAACGCGCTTGCATTTACGGAAACAGAACTGATTGTGTACTAACTGTTCATGCCACATAGAACTGAGTGGTGTGCAGGAACCAGGTCAGCTAGAAACAGTCCAGATAGGGGGTGAAGCTGAGTACTGAACGAGATGCTGAGCATACATGAGAACCCGTTCACACTACCCAAATCGAGATAAGCAGTGAAATGAAACAGGTATGAAATTAGCGGAGTCTACACATGTATGTGAAATGGTGACGCACCAAACGAGGATAGGAAAGCGGTCAGAAAAAGCACGCCGTGTCAATGTCAAGCATACACTTACAGTGCTGTCTAAGTTATATTCTAGAATAAGAAGAATAGGTGGGGTGTGTGGAGACGAAAAATTGGTTAGCATGCTGGTCAGAGATGAGACAAAGGGAAAGTCTACAAGCATGTGAAAGAACCGGGGACTTTAGTCACCATAAAACGAATATCCTCTAGTAGTCAAATTTAAACCTGAATACAGAAGTAAAGTTAGGGTCAATAATTGTACTCTACTGTCATGAAGGCAAGGATTAACAAAGTGTAATTGCATAACTACGGTTGCACGCAAACGTAATGCAGCATGACGACGTCTAACAGAAAATGGATAGGGAGGTGATCAAGACGTCTACGGAAGCAAAGCTGGGCTTAGCGAACAGTAGGCCTACATCTCACGTGACTAGTCGGACGACCGGGCAACTTGTGGATCCAACAGCCAATCGTGTTTCATTATCCGCCGAGTGTCAATTGCAGGTGCTGCTTCCGGAACGCGTTCGAATTTCCAAAATGCTGTCGTTTCACACACTGTAGATAAGACGTGTTGTATCAGGGCTTTGACCTGTTTTTGGACGTTTATTAAATTCTACATATCTTTGGTGATTCTTCTGTTGAAGACGCCAGTTTGGGAGGATTAGAGCAAGGACCGGACTGAGCCTTACCACAGCTCGCCTTAAGGGTCATCACCACTGATATCAACACCAGCTGCTCAAAGTCAATGTCAGATACACTAGCTCGTATTCAACTTCGATATGAAATAACCTGAATGATTATCTCAAGACTG